TAAGAACTGAAAATAGTTAGAAAACAGAATTTGAGGTTTAAAGAAACTGAATACCAGGATGCTTGTTTGCTTGTTTTCTTGGTCCAGCATGCATGACTACTGCCTTTAAGCTCCACTGTAGAATGTTTGACTAGAAATGCATCCTACACCTAAGAACCTTTACTGGGAGATAGACTTTGTGTTGATTCTTAGGTTTTAAAACCTGTAGAATCAGTGTACTTAGATTTACTTTTTGTTTCATGGGTGGAGACCTGCATGTGCTCCTGAGATTGGAAAGGCAGCCATCTAGGCATAGAGAGTACATGAAAAAGAAGATAGATTGATGAGAAGCAACCTAGTAAACTACAAGCAGTTTTTATGATTGAAGGACTGAGTACAAGACAATAAGCCAGGAAAGGTAAGCAATGATCAGATCATCGAAGGCTTCATGGATCACATGAAGTTTGGATATTGGTTGTCAAAGTGAGTTTAGGTTTTGTTGGATTGAAAAATAGAGAAAGGATTCGAGTAGTTGGATATTGAGAGAGAGAGAGAGATTGATGTTCAGTTTTCTATCAGAGAATAGATGATAAGTAAATTGGATGGGAAAGATTTTGATAAATTTTTTGATATTTTGAGATTGGGATGCCTATGGAATATTCAGGAGGATGTTTTTAGCAGGTGATTGGATTTCTAATTTTGAGATAGTTGAGAAAGATCTGAGCTAGAGACACAACTTGGGAGTTAAAAACCATGAAAGTGCATTATGTGAGCCAGAGGCAGAAATTTAATCAAATCCCAGTTCTGCCTTATTTAGCTGTGTGACCCTTAGGTAGGGGTTAGGAATGGGGTGAAGTATTGAGAAAAATTTGAAACAAAGTAGGAAGGTAGAATTTGAAAAGGCCTTTCAATGAGGTGAAATTAAAGTGGAAATTTAATATACTGATCACATTTCTGGTTTGGGCAACTGGTTAAATGGTGGTGACATTTCCTAAATTATGGATTACTGGATTGGGGAGCCCGAGTCAATCAGAGGGCTTAAATAACATTTCCTAGAATTGCAGAAGTTAAACTAAACCTAACTTTTCTTTTTTTATTGTAGGACATTGTTACAGGAAGGGCAAGAGGGCACAGTCTCTGAGAATCTGTCCTCTCCAAAAACCAGAATTGTTACCTTAAATAACGTTTTAGCCTTGCTTATGATTCTGATACTAATTAGAAATTTTACTGGTTTGTGGAAAAATGAGATGTTGAGTAGATCTAGAAACCTGTGACTGTCAAAAGAAGGAATAAATACAAAAGTTGGTCATTAAATAAGTTTGTAAATTTTTTGCCATACACCCCAAAACCAGAAACTTGTTTGAAGCTGTGTGTGATAGAGCTATTGAAACTAGTCAAGTGTTATAGGTCTGGAGACCTTTTATTTCCCCTCGGTGCAGGGCAACTTCATTTCTGCTTTGATTTGTTGTTAATTTAAAATTTCAACCTTTAAAGGGTAGTCTCACTTTTATATTTCTAAATGCTGCAGTACTTCATTTTACTATTTAAAAAAAGCTACTATTTTGTACATTTTCAGATTTTAGTGGCTTTTTATTTCCTACTGAATAAAAGCCAAACTTATGATTATATATATTTTTTATTTTTAGAGAGAGTAAGGGGGAGAGAGAAATATCGATCGCTGTCTCCTGCATGCACCTAGACTGGGGCTTGATCCCACAACCTGGGTATGTGCCCTGACCAGGAATCAAATCTGCCACCTTTTGGTGTACTAGACAACATTTGGACCAAGTGAGCCACACCGGCCAGGGCAATCTGAAATTTTAGGGTTAACTTCAGTTACCGCAAAGAAGTCAGCTGGAATTTTTGAGGGGTTCTCAGCTGTATATCAATATGTAACATGAGAAGCATTGCCATTTTAACAATATTAAGTGTTCTGATGCATAAAAATATGATGTATTTCCATTTATTTAACATCGTCTTTAATTTCAACAATGTTGGTAGTTTTCAGAATATAAATTCTCTATTTCATTTGTTAAATATATTCCTAGGTATGTTATTTTATGTGCTACTAGAGGCCCGGTGCATGAGATTCGTGCACATGTGGGGGGGTGTCCCTCAGCCCAACCTGCACCCTCACCAATCTGGGGCCCCTTGAGGGATGTCTGACTGCCCGTTTAGGCCCGATCTTGGTGGGCCTAAACGGTCAGTTGGACATCCCTCTCACAATCCAGGACTGCTGGCTCCCAACCGCTTGCCTGCCTGCCTGCTTGTCCTTAACTGCTTCTGCCTGCCAGCCTGGTTGCTCCCAACTGCCCTCCCCTGCAGGCCTGGTTGCTCCCAACTGCCCTCCCCTGCAGGCCTGTCCCCACCACCCCCCCCCGCTGCTCTCCCCTGCTGGCCTGATTGCCCACAACTGCCATCCCCTGTTAGCTGTCTTGTGTCCACCTGTGGCGGCCATCTTGTGTGTTGGAGTGATGGTCAATTTGCATATTACCTCTTCATTATATAGGATTATAAGTGGAATTTTCAAATTGTATAGAATTGGGTTCTGCCTCCTTATTAGCCTATAGTTCTAATAGGTTTTAGTGATTTTCTTGGAATTTTCTATATATAAGATCATGTCATCTGCATATAGAGGTAGTTTTTCTTATTTCTATATTTTTTCCCCTCCTAATTGCCCTCCAGTACAATATTGAATGGAAGTAGTAAGAGAAGAGATCTTTGTCATGTTCTTAATCTTAGAGGGAAAGCATTGAGTCTTTCACTGTTAAGTATGATGTTAACTATGGGTATGTTACAACATACTGTAATTTTTATTTTCATTAATCTCAAAGTATTCTCTTATTTTCCTTTATCAAGTTGAGGAAGTTCCCTTCTATATCTCATTTGTTATTTTTTTTATGAAGGAGTGTTAGATTTTGTCAAATGTACTTTCTATGTGTATTTAAATGATCATGTGATTTCCCCCCTCTTTATTCTGTTGGTAATGAGAATTGATTCTCAAATGCTAAAGCAATCTTGCATTCCTAGGATAAATCCCAGGTCATGATTATCCTAAATAATAAAAGGCGAGTATGCAAATAGACCAAACGGCAGAATGACCAGTTGCTTTGACATGCACTGACCACCAGGGGGCAGACGCTCAACGCAGGAGCTAACCCCTTTTTGTGCAACGGGCCTCTAGTAACGTATAATTCTTTTTATACGTTTGCTAGTATTTTGTTGAGGATTTTTGCATCTATGCCTATAATTTTCTTATTTTATAGTGAGTTTATCTGGTTTTGAAATTAGAGTCAGACGTTCCCTGAGGGCTCTAGGACTGGGAGAAGGTTCAGGCCAGGCTGAGGGACTTCCCCCCTCCCCCCCAACAAGACATTTGATCTGTAGTTTTCTTTTTTGTGTAAGATCTTTGTCTGGTTTTGGCATCACAATTACTGTTACCAGAGTGATTTTTGGAAGTTGTACCCCCTTATTTTTTGGAAGAGTTAGTGAAGAACTGATAGTATTTTTTAAATATTTGATAGAATTCAGCATTGAAACCATCAGGTCTGGGCCTTATAGATAATTTTTTGATTGCTAAACCAGTCTTTTCACTTGCTATAGGTCTATTCAGATTTTCTAATTCTTGGGTCGGTTTCAGTAGTTAATGTTCTAGAAATTTTTACATTTCATCTGTTACCTAATTTGTTGGTATACAGTTAGTTATTCATAGTATTCCCTTATA